CTCTGCAAATTAAGGATAAAAGAGCAACGGATCAAAGAACAGAGTAGAAACCGAGTTGAAACTTATCTGCACGACATTAGATACACTTATTCCATTGACTAAACATTTTTAAGCAGTCAAAGCTGCATCAAAGTGACTTCAAGCAGCAAACTCTCAAGAGCAGACAAAAGGTAAAAACAACTGCAGAATTGTCTGGAGGAATGCTCTTGTCTGCAGAAGTCATTCAGAGTGAATGCAGCAAGTCTCCTCCAGCGTCAGCTCTGCTGGGCTGGCAGAGATGGCATTTCCTTTCCATGACATCCACTAACGAAGGAATTTCCTTTTTCCATCTGTTGAAAGCTGTACCCTTCCAAGCCTGCCAATCGTGTTGCCACAGTACATTCGGCAGTGCAGTTTCTCAAGTATCTCAAGTTGCACAGTTCAGTTAATAAACAAAACAAGCCTCTACACTGACCTGTGACTACTTTTTGTTTTTCCTTCATCACAGGGCAAGTGCATAAACTTCACCCGGAGCAAATCCTACCCTGCTCCTAGCTATCCCATCTACAACCATCCCTCCACGCCCGTCTACACTTTGCCCCACAGTTACCGGCGGCGTCCTTCAGAGGGCAGCCACGACTTCCATTTGCCCCTCTCGCCAACTTCAACGCTCCCCCCTCTGCCGTCCACTCCTCCCCCATCCTCCACCACCCCTCCCATGTACACACCACCTCCAAACAGAGCCCTGCCCCCTTCCAACATGAGCTCAGTCTCTGCGCCCCCATCTCCAACTGGCTCCCTACCGCCGCCACCTCAGGGTCCACCCCCATGTAGAGCGCCTCCTCCGTCACGCCCTCCTCCACGCCCCGATCATGAGAACTATTGAACATTGTAAAAACAAAAAGGAGGTTGAGGAGAAGGATCCAAGCTCAGGATGGAAACCTGAAGGAACCCGTTCACTGTGCCTCTGTCCAAACAGAGGGAGTGTATAACGTTGCCTTTTGAGGCTGCAGCTGGTGATTAAACTCCTGCAGAGTCTGTTTTCCTCAACACGCATGAACCCTGACTTTATTTTAAGTCTAGAAAGTGATTATTTAACGTAGCGAGCACAGCTTTGGCTATTAAATTATATTAGAGCTAAGCAATGTATTCATTTTTTAAGAACACTTCCTTCCTAATATCAAAACAGACACATTGGTCAAGCGTTGCAGCGTGCCATGGAGTCGTATAGATTTTCACTTTAGCCTTCGCCTGATGTGAATCTTTTGATCTGAAATGAATTTTTCACTGCTTTGTGCAGTGAAAAGCAATAATCAGCAGAAAATCCAGTGGCTCAGCAACTGCGTCATGTTGTTTTTTTTTTTATACGTGAACATTTAACAAGTGTCGTCTTGTAAAATGTTTATTTTGTAAATAAATATTCATTATTCACAGAAAGATATACAGTCCATGATATTGCATGTCTGATTTCAATGGAAAATGACACCTTTCATTTCATGATCTTTTCAGGTGAAAGTAGGAAAGGTAGTTAGTAAATAGTTTGACATTTTGGGAAAAATACACTTTTGCTTTCTTGCCGAAAGTTAGACAAGAAGATTGATACGACTGTCACATTTATATGGTAGATATAGAACCAGCAGGTGATTTGTTTAATCACTCAGTGTGTCACTTCCTGTATAAACAAAATGTTTGTGTATGGAACAAACAAACAAAGGTTATTGTGTTCATTTGTGAGTTTTAGAGGTGCTGATAGGGACATATTTTATAACCTTTACAGTGTGTAGACATGAGGGTGGTATCAATCCTCTCATCCAACTCTTAGCAAGAAAAGAAATGAGTGTTTTTACAAAAAAGTAAAAGTATTCCTTGAAGATTAATTCATACACATCTCACAAGAGACCCCTACAGACAGACAAGCCCAATGCACGATATTAAAAACATAGTTCTCCTAAAATCAGTAAGTTAGAAACCAGGAAAGATGTCTGCAAGAAGCATATGAGTTACATGTTTGGCTCACTGTTAGGTGCCATTTAGGTTTCTGACAAAAGTGACCTCTGGAAAACAACCCTGAGATTGATTTAGCTGCCAGAATGACAGCCTGTAGATTTTGAGTCTGGTTATTTGATGCGTTTGAAATTAAAAGTAAAAAGCTTTATCACAACTTAAACTCAATCCGTTGGTTGGTGGTGACAGTTTAGGATTTACTCACAACTTTAAATGCCCTACGTACCCGAGGTTCACCTCAGCAGGTGATCTTCTGCCCTCACTCACTGACATGCACCCAGCTGGACACACTTAGGATGAAGGTTGAAGACAGCAGGGGGCTTTTACTGCAAGCAGTTGTGAAACTGTGAAAACAATGAGATTCTATAAACAAGAGTTAGACCAAAAATGTTGTAAGACATGACTTAGTAACATGGAAACAGGTTTCACAAAATTTGAAGAAAAGTACTGTCTGCGGGCGAAACAACAACATTAACTTCTCATAGGCAGTACACCACAGTAATTAATCAGTTAATAAAATAAATCTTTAGAATGATGCATTAGCTCCAGACAGCTAACAACATGTGATGAGCAGGAAGCTGCTCATGGAAAAGCTCTAGTGTGCAGGATTTGGCGGAATCTAGCAGGGAGGCTGCAGATCGCAACCCACTCATAGGAGTGAACGGTAAGAACCACAGACTGAGAACCCACTAAAAGTTCTCCCGAAACATGAGCCAGTGTTTCAGGTAATTATACCCTGAAGACAATTATTAATACTCCCTTTCTGCCAATAGATCCCCTAAATGTTAAACACTGTACCTCTTATCACAATCAACAACTCACAATTGCTTTCATGACTTACAGGGAGACTTGAATAGAACGGAGGCATTGTTAATGTCATTAGTTGCACGTGTGATTTTCCTGCTATGACCAGTCTAAATGTGTGCTGTGGGACTTTGTGATGCCTGGACTTCAATTTTACGCTCTCACACCCTCAAATAAAATGGAGGGTAAATATAATGCACTATATATAGTAAATAGTGAGTAATTTCAGACACAGAGTGGGACTTTTATTGCTGTATAAACGTTGGTGACATCATATTATTCTCAGTGTAAATCCAACTTGAGCAGAAGTCTAATCAGCCAGAATTGAAAACACCTGTGTGGGTGTGCAGGGCCTTTAACTTTAACAACAAGTGATGAACTTTGTCCTAACAATGAAAGATGATACAGTATACGTATATAAGCCTTGTTTTAAATCAGGCCCCTCTTTATGACCAGGCAATTAAATATAGTTTGCTTTATGCCTGCATGGTTTCAGAAACATTTTGGGGGACTAAATTGTCTGTCAGGAGATTTGCTACTAATCTTCACATCTTTGGCATGAGGAGTCGAGCTGCGGTTGAGATGGTTGTTACACCTGGTAAAGATGCCCCCACATGTCTCCATATAAAGATATTTTGGTCACTTCTAGATGGAAAAACTGGAAGAATTTGCTGGAGGAAAAAAACAGCACATCTGGGCTGCTCTGCTTTCCTGGCTGGCACTGCAGGAAATGTGCAGCTAGAAAGTGGATGGATTAACAGAATGAGGAATAACGTGAAATATTTATTTATAACTCAGAACAGTTTAGAGTAGTTTCCATTTCAGGTAAATTGTATCGACTCTCTCTAAATAATAAAAATGTAACTTGATTTTCAGAGTTTAGAATTATGCAACAAGAGAAAGGAGCAGCCAGTCAGTCTTATTCCACTCAGATCTACTAAAATAACTCATAATATATCTTTTCCATGTGCTTTCCTTGGTTTTCTTAGCTCTTTCTTCATGTGTAAATGCTTTCACAGATGCATGCAGACGGACTCGCAGTCCTGTGGGCAGTGAGCTCACGGAGGCGTGTCTGAGAAAGCTGCCAGAAGCAGAAGCAGTCGGATTCGAGGCAGACAATAAAATCAAAAAAAACAACTACGATGCCATGATCTGGAGGAGGTATTTACGCTGCGTAACACTTTACCAAGTCCATCTGCAAACAGTGCAGAGAGCTGCAGTCAACAACATGTTGGAAGAGCTAACTTCAGCATAAAGTTCAGTTTATGTAAAAGGATTTTTTTTTGTCTTTTTTTCCTGTTTGTCTTTTTGACTGTCAACACAATATTAAATTCTTTCATATCCAAAAGGACAACTACTCAAAACAATATCAATATACTGAACGATCGAATCAACCTTCCTTCTTGATCTTTCTTGACAAAATGTGTTCTGTGCAACTTGGCCCGTGGCTCGGTCTACCTTGGCTGCACAAACAATGGCAATCAGTGATTCACACCGCTAACCAGATCCACAGTTAAGCAACGTCACAGTGCCGCTTACACGCAGCCTTGAACTCGTTTACAGGAAAGCCTCAGACTTATCTATTTCCATCTACGTATACAAATCCTGACATGTTTACTCCGATGAAATCAGCTCACGGCCTGGTTCACTCTCCTCTGTTTCCATGTGCTCTTCAGAGATACTTTTTCTTAAATCAAAACAAGCAGCTCATCTTTCACACAAGCTCAACTTACCTTTCTCCTCCTCAACGAGACAGAGGTTTACGCAATAGTTTGCATGTTTTAGTGGTTTATTGGGGGCTCAATCTGACATAAAGATAACTTAACATAGTGGACACCTGGGTTTACAGTGTCTCTTTCCATTTTAGCTTTGCATTTTGTTTAATCTGTATAATGTGATAGAATAAAAGTGAAGATTTAATAAAAACCTTTCCTGGAAAGACGATACTTTTGGCCTCGCTGCCCCAGATTTAGACTGCAGCAGTGGAGCGACGACCTCCTGGTGCATACAGAGGAATAGGGACTCATCATCCTCTTTAGGTAAACATCAGCTAGTCCATCAACACACTTAAGACATGAAACAACATCTTAGCCTCACCAAGGCCCTGCTGATCTCTAAAATTCTAACAGGCATTTTGCCATCGTGTCCCTTCTCATGAAAGCCTGGATGTTAAACGTCAGCAATGAGGCACAAGCAGAAAGACCAGGATGTCATAATGTTTACAATCTTTTAATAAAATCAGTTTAGTTTCCACTGATGACACTTTCTATGGTCCGGTATTAATAGCCAGATAATATAGGAAGACACAAATACTTAGCAAGGCAGCATGGTTTACAAAAAGACCTCATCTGTGACAAAGTGTGAAGCAAAACTAGAAGCATTATTTGAAATCGTATCACTTTGAGAGAAACTTACTACAAAGTTTGCTCGGTGGAGGTGATGTTGGTATTTTCTTGATATTCCCTTCTGACCCCGTCACCTTATGCTGCACATCAGCAGATTTGAAGCACAGGCGTGATGTTTCATTTAAAATACCAAAACCAAAGACAAACTACATTAGCAGGTAAGAAATCACTTCAAGAGAACCATAAAGTACCATTAACATCGTACTGTTTCCAGTACAGCTCTCTGGTGACCAGCCAGTTTGGATTTTGCGTAACTCGTCGAGAGATTACAGTGCTTTCACTCGTTAATATGAAAGTAATAACTGCATGAATATGTTTCACACCATTACATTTCATTTCCAATGATTTCTTTGGCTGAATATTCAAAAAGCCTGCAGCCATTTTGGAAAAACAATACAACTGGTATTAAACAATCCATAAACCGAGTGTAAACAAAAGGGTAAACAACTAGAAAAGTTTAAAATTTGCAAACACTGTTTGAAATACAAAGACTTCAACAGAGGCGGTTAAATATTACAGCAAACAGTAAAGTAAAACACACTAAATGCTTTTACACATTATTGTTATTTAGCTGGTCAAAATGACGGCTTGACCAAACCCTTTCTGATATCCTAAATTCAGTTTAAAATCCAGTCCAGGACCAATCCATCAACGCCATCTGAGAAACTGCTCAGTCCAAGTTCACAATGTTGAGGTGCTGAATGATGCACTGTTGTGCTCAGACTGAAAGAAAATCACATGACTGAGGTAGAACATTAATCTTAAACAAGAACATTAATCGGTAAAATGATAATTTACTCGTTTTAATACTGTAATAATGACACGAGTTACACTACATTAGACGTTTGGGTAATACTGCGACTGAACTCTACTCTGGCACATGTTCAGAGATGATTATATAATCAAGGTTTCCCCTGAGAGCATCTTGGCTGGAAAGGTGCACCAGTGAACGGGTCGTTCAGAGGTCTTCCCCCGATGGTCCAGGAATGCAGAGGCCCCACCGCTACCGACCCCACGGCGGCCTGCTGACCGATCCTGGAGACGACCCGGTGCACCGCCACCGGCTGCTGGAGCAGAGGCGTCTCCGTGCGCAGAGGAGGGGCCCGGATACCGAGACACTGAGGACCAGGAGGAGAGGGTCCTGGGACCAGGTGACACTGTCTGCTGGCTTGAACCTGCGGCGTACCAGACTTAAATATGTGAGCGTTAGCGGGATCAGCTTTGGTGGTTTCCTGCCTCTTTCCAAACGGCGCCTGGAGGAACACATCAGAGGCGTCAGCAGGTTTTTGAGATGTAGAAGAGGAGGAGCTGCCGAGCGCCATCTTGCTTTCTGTTCCTGGCGTTTTAAACGGGGCCAGCTGGAAGACATCAGAGGTGACTGGGCTGACCTGGAACTGGGATACGTGGTTGACGGGTATGAACGGCAGGCTAGTGGAAGAAGCTGGTATTGTATGGTGCTGTATGCCGCTCTCATCTGATGGCAACATGTGTTTATCATAGACACATGCAGCAGTCCTCGGCCGTTGATGCTCCTCAGTGAGCTGCACAGAGGCCACAGCCTGAGCAGCTGGCAGTGCGTGACTGTTGAGCTCCCTCTGCAGGTCTGCGTGTGGAAAAGATGAGAGAAAGGTCAGATATGAAGATACATGAAAGATTTACTGACCTCTGAATCTTATAGATATCATATGAAATACAAATATTTTGCCATCTATGATATTAACCACAGGAATGTATGCTCAGGTATTTAATTTGTATTGTTTACATTTGTGCTTAGTGAAAAAAAATCTAAGTAAAAATGGCAAAGGTGCAACATGTTCTAATGTTCTTTAAATATATCCTGTATTTGAAAGCTCAAATGGGCGATAGATATTTCAGAATTCCAATAACGATATATTGGTCAATATATATTTTTTACATGAACATGTTTGATAAATACCTTTTGAATTATGAAAGAATTGTGAACAAGATATGTACTGAATGAGACATTTAATAGTTGAAAAGGAAATATCAGTGCTTGCTGGAGACAAACTATCTGCAACAAGATAATATTGTCTGATTTGTCAGAAATGATCCTAACTCACTGAATAACAGGTGTATCGCTGACTCTACTCCATTCAGCCAAGTTTAACATGACAGCCTCTCGGACGGTAGACAAAGATGGATTGACATATTAATGGGACATGAAGGTCTTACCTGAGTTGAATTAACCTGCTATATGAGCAGAATAAGAATTTGATTAGTGCATCACACAAATAAATCTCCCTTACTAGATTATGCTTAAAATGAACAAATCATTTACAAGATAATTGAACCCCTTAGCATCTCACCCAAAGTACTTAATGCAGTGTGATGAGAGGCGATTAAAAGAGCACTCCACCAAATGATCATAGCACTCCTTTAACATCAGACTCACGGTGGACACTTTAAAAAAAAAAAAGGATAAAATTGACAGCAGAACCAGAGTGTCTTCTTCCTTGTCAAATCCTGGGGCCTACATTACCCACAATGCAACTCAAACCACCTACAGTTCAGCTGAGATTCAGGTGTTGTGCTAGTTGCAGCTAATAATGCTAATTTATGTCATTTCCAGCCCGAGTTTACCAGAATTTACCAAACTGTGTGCAGCTCTCTGGAGCCACAAAAGGCTTTAAAGTAGTTTTTTTCCCACATACAGAATACAGTAGTGAGCTACTCAAGGCCTGTGAACAGACTGTGTACAAAAAGTGCAGCACAACAGTTAACTTGTGTTGAGTTACATCAACCAATATGCTGGACAACAAAGAACATCTTACAATCAATACTCAACACGTTGACGTTCACATTTGTATTTTATTTGCCATCCCTTTATAATTCTTTAATCATCTCACAAAAATAGAAGGAGCACACGATACCACAGCTCTGATGCAGGTTTTGGGGCCATAAAGACGAGAGGCGTCTCGAAAACACTCAATGGTATCAGATAATCGACGGCTTTCATTTGTGGCAAAACAACGGACAAAAGGAGGGGCTTCTGTTTCACACCGAGGACTAATCTCACTACCTGCTGGGCTTCACCGGTTACAACACACACACTGGCGGCTACGGGGAGAAAGCTCGGGAGTTGCATAGGTTCAGACAGTAACGGCAAATGTTCAGAGGAAGGATCGTAGAGATGAAAACATTATGTGAGCCTTTAGTTGCACATGCAGCACCTACAGTAAAACACACCTACGAGGAAGTTGCTTTGAAACCAGCAACTCCTTAAGTTGTCGTCTTTTTTTTTTTTTTTTTTTTTTTTTTATTTTCCCCAAGACCAGAGGTTTAGTAACTCAAAAGTTGAAATCAGGAGTTCTACACAAAAAAATGAAGGAATAACATTGAAATAGGACAGAAATCAAGAGTTTAAATTCATTATCGGGGTAATTTATCGTCAAAGAACAACAAATGTACTCCGTGTTTTTGGCACTATTTTAGATTCTGAATTCTAACATTCAGTTTGGAGGTGATTTATCTTACACTGCAGGACTTCACTCATTCAGAAGGGAACTACTTTGTCTTAGTGTGATATATCTAACTAGCAAGTGGAAACCCATTAAGATTTGAAGGGACTATTTTAAGTAGATCTCACAAAAGCAATCACTTCCTAAGATGACGAAATGAATAAAAGTGATGGAGGCGGTCTTCCCTTTTATCATGCAGGCCAAATCATTGAGTTTGATCCTACAGAAACGTATATATATTGCTGATTGGAGCCGATATCTTTGTATGTTGTATTTGTGTTGCGTCTCCAGATTCAACCTCCTCACACGTCACAGAGCCCCTCACACATTCACCTCTCAGACAAACTAAACTGCAATACGGAGCGCAGACTTGGGGAGCAGTAGGCCAAAACGTATCCAACTCTCAGATGTAGCTCTGACTTCCTGAGAGAATTTAGGGGGGGGAGGGGGGGGGGGGGGGGGGGCTGTGCTTTCAGAAGAGATTTTAATGACAACGCAACCGTCGCCATATTTGCAGCAAACAACACCACAAGTGGGCTACTGGGAAACACATCCAACAATTCTGACTCCACACACACACCCACCCACACACACACACACACACCATAACACTGTATATACCGACACACATGAACATTCAACAACACTGCCATGCTTTGCTTTTTGATATGAATTCTGTGATCACCAAAGCAGGTAAAGCTGAACACAAAGCTTCACAGAGTACAAGTTGCAGAAAAAGCTCCTAGTTTAGCGATGAAATGAAACGGGGACTAAGATTGAGAGGGTTGAGCTCCCGCCTTCCGGAAAAACGGTTTTGAATAAAAATATAATCCTTCACATCTGTCCGTGTAAACAAAGGAAGCACAGGCTCACAAAGGTAGAGGAGGTGGAATAAGACAAGGCATTCAGCCTAATCTCCAGGTTGAACAAAGACGAGGATTTTAATTTACTGACAATAGTTGAATAGATAGAACCAAGAAACAAAAACCTCTCAACACACAATTCCACGAAGAGAAATTATATATATATATATATATATTTATATATATATATATATATATATATATATATATATATATATATATGAGTATTCTTCAATATTATTCAGTGATTATGGTGTCAGAATCATAGATATTTTTTATTAAAGACTAATATTCATTTTTTACATTCATTCTCTAACACTCTATTCATATTAACATTTATTAACAGGAAAACAATGTCATATATATATATATATATATGGATATATGAGAGATTTCACAAGTAAAGCAATATGTTTTCCACAAGTAAAGCTTCATGACAATGACTTAATATTTACACGGGAAGAAGACCAATTGTCTGGTCTGGGTCAGAGCCTGCAGGGGTCGCAGATATCTATTTACATAAATTAGGAGTGAACAAATGGCAGGAATGTGGGAAGGATTGCACAATGCGGAATGAATGCTTGCGTCGATATTCAAAACAAAAAGTGCAAGTGAGTGAAAGTGATTTTTAAAATGCCATATTAGACTGTTTCTGTTGGTGCCAAAAGCTTTACCTGAACAGTCGTTAATGGTCTCGCTCTAGATAAACACTACTGCATTTCTACTATATTCTATTACGGCTTATTATTCTAATTATTGTCATGAGTTCATGCATTTTCTATTGATATGGCACGCTGCTATAAACACTGTTAAAATGACCCTGATTTGTCATTTACTTCCAAAACAAGCTATTGCTCGCCTCAAGGATGAAATCAAAAATACGATCATGAGAACGGGTCCTCATTTAAAAAGTTCAGTTTGTCTGTTCGACATCATTTAAATATTTAGAGTTCAGCTGATATACTTTCTGCACCAGTCAGCAGTTTATTTACAGATTACTTTATGGCACTTCACCGTTTCTCACAATGACTCAGTATGGTGGTTATGGCCAGATTTGGGTTTTTTCAGTCTAATCTATGGAGCTTTAAATTGTTAAAGATATTCAACCCAAAGAGGTAACATTTATGCTACTGTGCAAATCAAGCTACATGACTAAGTTTCCCTTTTGTAGAAGAAATAAACTGACCGTATTTCAACAAATGGTCATTCAACTTTTCCGTGTTTCCTACTTTAAAATGTGCAAATAAATCTGGGGAGGAGAATTTAAAAAGGCAAACAACAACAATTTCACTTGTGCACGATAATAACTACAACCACTTATAACTATATGCCTATTGCACATTACAACAATGATCTTCTATTGTTTCGCTATTAGACATAATGCAATATTGCTCAAACAAACTGGATTGTAATAATACATCCTGATTGACGGAGAGAGAGATGTAATAGTTAATGTTTGGAGAGGATGATGTTAGTGTACTGGCCACTTTTTTGAAACCAATGGACGACACATGAGACTACAACAAAGAGAAAATATGAGTGAGAGGGTGAGAGGTGAAGAGAAGCCAGATAATGCAGTCGATGCGGCGGAGAGGACAGGTATGAAGAAGCACTGAAAGGCGAAGGACGTTTCTACTGTCGGAACTAGAATGGAGATGACAGCCGGGGGGGCGGGGGGGAAGCGAGCTATGACAACAGTGTTGATTGCTGTTATGCTATGCCAGTCTATACTCCAGTGTTATAGCCTCTACTGGGGGGGCGGGGGCGTCTACAAGTCGATGAGCTGGTCCACCAGCAGCATGGAGCGGGCCAAGCTGGACAGGCTGGATTCAGAGCCGCCACTGTTACTGCGCGAGTGGCCTCCTGAAACTGGCCGGAGAGACAGCGAGACGAATACAAGCAAACAGAGGGGGGGGGGCAGAAGAGCAGGAGTCACGATAAGCACACAGAGCAGTCAGGGAGGGGAAGAGAAAGAGAAAGAGAAAGAGAAAGAGAAAGAGAAAGAGAAAGAGAAAGAGAAAGAGAGAGAGAGAGAGAGGGCAGAATTTACCCATTTACCTCTACTGGTTTAAAAACATTCTGAGGATGCAAAAGCAGTGCATGCACCTGATCCTGTTATCAGTAGGTTTTATGACTTTATTCATTATTTAGGATATCAGCATGCGACTGAGGGGAAACTCCAATAAAGAGCCAATCCCTGAGTCTTTAATCCTGAAGACCAACGTGACCCACCTGCACCTCCGTGGGTGGAGAACGTAAAGACTTACCTTGGGAGTTCTTGCGGCCTGTGACGGGAATCGGATCAAACTCGTCCTCTGTGCCTCCCTCTGCTGTGGGCTGCTGGGGCTCAAAGTCTGAGATCAGGAGACACGAGTCTGCAGAGGACAGAAGAAAGGTGGGTTGTAGCATTGCAGAGTAGATGCCTCATCCACAAATAGTTTAGGCCAACAACAATAAGACTCAACAGCTTCATCGGCATTATTAAACATTTTCATAAAAATCTGCAGTTACTGCAAAACCACATCAGAAGCTCTCCAGTGGTACAAATCCTGTTTGATGAGATATTATGAGGAGAGATCAGCAGTAATTAGGATCATACAGCTGCTGCACACTGATTCAGAGTTGGCGCCGTCAACAGCAGTCAAATGCCTTCGTTCACCAGCCAAGAAGCCAACACTGAACCAACCACAGCTGTGGAGCTCTCAATGTGGGACACACATTGAGGGTATTCCATTAAAAGTTATTAATGTGAAACAGATGTAAGCCGGACCATCCCTCTATACACAGGAAACCCATTACAGAGAATGGATCAAGTTTATCATTTTATTTACTTGCCTTGAATGTTGAAAATGTATGAAGTTATGTCATAACAGTCTGTCAGTGTTTTAAAAATTCCAGCTTTCTGCACAAAATAATAAAGTAATCTTATGTCAACATCAACAGCTCAAGGAGTTTGAAAGTTGATGTTTCTGAAGTTTATTTTGGAGTTTTTCTGCCCTCTAGTGTTGACAATAGCTTTAAGTCCATGTTGCCGATCAGAGCATGAATATCAGCTCTGTAGATCAGGTGTTCTCATTCGAGGAGGTTTCATGATGGCGCCTCCCATCTTTGCATTGATTCATTGGAATACCGTTCGCCATCTGTCTATATCGCTGGAGAAGTTGTTTCGATAAAACACAAGAGCCACAGAGCTTGAACTACAACAGCTAATAATTAGCTTTCCTTTGCTGTCCGTAGACCCTTAGCTTGCTGTCGGTGGCTCAGTCCTTTGGGCCCCAAGGAGCCACACTTACTGATCCGCTGCGTGGCCTACGTACCAGCTTTTATTACAAAGAGGCTGGATTCAAAATGCAGCAGAATATATATTTGGATTTCTTTGAGAAAACCTCACTTGGAAGCTTCCAAAATCTCAAAGAGCCATATGGCTTTACCAGCCAGGATCTCTTTAGATTCTTGCAGCTGAGACACCACATTGATAAAACATTTAGTTCAGAAGGAACTGGTACATAAAGAGGTGTTTTTCAGCAGCTGACCTAGGTCTCAGAACTATTTTAAAACTATACAACGGCTTTCAAGAGCTAAGGGCGGTGAACACATCCCACATTAAAGAAGTCGTTCGACTCTTACAGCCTACCTGCTACAGGCTGTGCACAGTCTCCAGACAACAGGCTGAAATCATCCAAAGCAGAGGCGGCGGAGGTGGGAGCAGAAGAGACGGAGGAGGCGGCACTGCTCGCTGCTGGAGGGGCGGACGGACCAGAGAGCAGAGAGCCCAGGAGAGAGTCGTCTGTGGCGAGAGGGTCTGCGGACGGTCAGGAGAAGCCAAAGGTAGACAGAAAACAGGGTAGTTTAGTTCAGTAGGGATTCTAAGAATCATGCACTAAGCCTCCGACTTAGAAACAAAACACATGCCTGCTTGCAACACACACACACGCACACACCTTTTGCAGAATCTTCCACGGAGCCCCCGAAGGGATCAGACAATGACAAGAGGTCGGGAAGCATGAGCGAAGATGTGTCTGGGGATTTGAGTCCTTCAATCAGCTTCTCTGAAGGCAATGAAGAATTAAGACACGATAAAGGAGACGTACTTTAGCAAAGTGCAATAACAATACCAGCTGTTGCAAAAATGCAAAAGCCTCAAAGAGAAATACTGCCAGTACAGTGGACAGACGGATGACTACGGGCTGAAAGGAGTGTGTTCAATGGTTTGGAACCAGACTGGCTGTTGATCATGTACCAGATGTTACGACCATGTCATAGCATCATTTATTCATTTTTTATTATTTATACATTTTACTAACGATTAATAAGGACAAACAACACATACGTTTTTAATATATTGAGGATATAGATTTCTTAAACACCATGTTTCATGATTTTAATTGGACAATATACTGTATGTATAAATAATTTGACCATAAAAAGGCGTATTTGTGTGTAATATGGATCCACGGAGAGAGGTATTTACCTGGTGCATCTGACAGGTCGAGGAGACCAAAAGGATCCGGGACGACCAACAGAGAGGCTCCTGACTCCACATCAAGAATGGTTGAAGGTCTTTCAACTACGAAACAGAGACTTATAATCCGTTACGAAGCCCAACAATGAGTCTAAAAATGCATTATGGGAGGAAGCAGATTTTATTTTTTGGTGTGTTTCATTACAAATGGTTCAAACTTGGCTTAAGTATTTCATATTTTAGGCCAATTATAACTAATAATACAGAGTGTGTCTTTGTTATCTGTAGCCGGTATTACAAAGAGAAACTATGAGTGCCTTACATCCAGTTTTCACACGTCTACATAAACACAGCAATTCCTTGAGTGCGTTTTTATCACTCCAACAAACTGTATTTCTAGACTGAGTGAGACTCTAAGCAACCCCCCCCCCCCCCCCCAAGATGTGGAAATTTGAACAAATGTTTGTAAAGACCAATCATTAAATGCCTCCACAGCTAGCATCTAATTGGTTTAAAGTTAAACAAAATAGTTTTTCCACAGTTTAAATTCCTATTGTGCATTTGTTTGCAGCAGACCCTGGTTACCTGCTTTCATTAGGTGTTTCAAGTTTTATCACACTTATTGTATGATGACTTAAATAACTCCAAAGACACATTACCATTATATAAAAATGTAAAGAAAAATGTAAAGAATATCTGAAACTGTTTGTAGAAACAGCGTGAGTTCGTGATGGTGCCACTAAAGGGACTGTGGTGTTTCATGGGTTCAGGTCCACGAAGAAGCAAGAAAAGAATTTATAGACTGTCTGAAGGGAAACAATGTGACGTACCAGTATCTTGAGGTGTATTATCCACAGATGAGGCCTGCAGGCCTGGTATCAACTCCTCTGAGGATGATGGCTCCATTTCTGAAGGTAGGTCTGAAAGAAAAAAAAAAAAAAAAAAAAAGGAAATTCACAGTTATTAACAGTTTAAAACATATTAAAAACACATATTCATGGTACTATACACGGTAGTACTTATAATAGTACCAGTAGGCTTTTTGTCCTCCGTTTTGAATTCCTCTACAGTGAGGCTGGAAAAGTTGTCATCGTCGAAAGGGTTCCACGTGGATTGTGTTGGCGTGTTGGCGGCATCGCCGGACGCAAGAACAGTGGAGCCATCTTTGTTTTGGTCCTGATCTGCGTCACCAACACCGAGCTCAACGAGCTGGGCGGTGCTTGGTTGAGATGCAAGTGACCTACGGGTAAAAATACGCACAAAATATTATAATATAAAGTTTATAATATAAACTGCCAGGCCACTTGAATTTGAGCTGTTCTTTCGGTTTATGCCAGTACACGTGCAACTTACTGGTTGAGGGCAGCATCTCCGTCAGCTCCTTGAGGCTGCAGTGAGGAGTCGCTCGCTGGAACTCCGGCAACGCTGCTCGCTGAGGCGTCACTCGGTGTGCGTTGGTGGCCTCGCTCTTCGGTAGTCTTTGGAGAAGCAGGTGGAGTCTGATGGAGGGAAAGCAAAAACATCTCAGACACAAATCCACAAGCCATGTTATTAACTTTTCATTTCAATCACAGACACATTTATCGGAGGCAAAAAGGAGCTAAATGATTTGGAATGTTAATATTATTACGATATTTTTATACCTAAGGAACAATGTAAACAATAGAAGGTGGATGAAGAAAACACCAGGCCATGCCACTTAAACCATTACCGTCAAATAAAAAAAGGGAAAAATCAATTCTGACAGCTCTGCACCACTTGAAGCTGGATGGTGGGCAGAAGGCCACTTACCGTCTCAGCAGCTTTTTGGCTGATCTCAGTGGAGGCGGGCTGAGCCTGGGCCGCTGATGGCTGAGTCATCTGCTGCTGCTGCTGCTGAGATACGGGCGTCTGACCGGAGGCCGCTTTGCCGGGTGAAGGCTGAGCCGCTGGCTGCTGAGCCTGCTTGCGCCGAGCCGGGCGTTGAGGTGGAGCCGGGCTCGATGGAGTCTGAGCTGCCTGCTGGGAGGTGGCGCTGACCACAGAGGGGGGTGTGGTCTGCTGCTGGACTGTTGGCGGTGCTTGCTGTTGGACGTCAGCCTTGGTCACTGGTGACACGACTGCTGCTGCTGCTGTAGTCTCTGCTGCTGTAGCTGCGGCTGGCTGTCACACAAAAGATGACAGAATCGGTTGTCACTCATTAAATTACAAACCACCGTAACTAAATTAGTGCTCCAGGTCCTGTGAGCAGCTGAGAATATATATTTGTGTAGGACCGATACATATGGTTATTTTCCATTAATGCTTACAATTAATTGGTTTTTGGATTGAGACTGTAACATGCCCATCACAATGCCCAAGAGCCCAAGGTTAGGTTTCAAATTGCTTGTTTTATCTGCTCAACAGTCCCAAAGGCATCAAATCCTGATATTTACAGAACGGGAACCACCCAATTTAACTTGATGAAGGACTAAACAACTATTGAAACTGTTGCATTTAGTTTTCTGTCAAACTACTAAAACTACTAAACCTGAAACAAGCAACCAAACATTATACTTCACTGAGATGTTTGCTTCGGTCCTTTTCCTTTCTTTGCACATTTTCATCCAGAAAGATACTTTTAAGGGTTTGTATTAATTTCAGTGCCATTGGTCCGTATGTACCTGCTTCTGTGGAGCCACAGCCGGACTTGCATTGTTTTGTGACTGGACGAGTGGCAGAACGGAAGTCTGTGCCTTCTGTGACTGCAGAGCTGCAGCTGGCTGAGAGAAGTTTAAGCTGACTCCTGTGGGATGTTAAAAAGAGCACAGACTACAGATTACTCAGGAAACATCTCATACAGTGTATAAATCAAGCAACATTAACAGGTTTATCAGAGCATTTCAATCCGTTTAATGCTGATAAAAGACATCAAAGTGATTTATCTTGCATCTGTTCCTGTTGAGAATTGCGGTGCTCGGTGTGTGCACAAAAGATTAGAGGGATTCCTGCATCTTTACTCAAGAGCTCGGTTTCTTTTCCCTACAACGGATATGAGAATAAGGTCGGAGCGCTGCACGTACCCACAGGCTGAGCTGCACCACCTGGGAGATTAGCCCGCTTGCGAGGGGTGAGAGCAGCCGGCTGGATGGGTAGGATGCCAGCCGCGGGCTGGGTATGGGCTGCTTTGGGCCTCTGGCGAGGGGTGATGGAGGTTTCAGTGGTGGGAATTGGATCAGTCAGTCTGGCAACACAGGGAGCATGTCGGGCCTTCTTGGTAATCACGGCAAACGTGCTAACATCATTATTTAATGAGTATCAATACTGACTGTGTCTAATTACTTCCACAAAATGTTGTGTTACAACAGTTTTAATGGTGACGCCATGTAAAGCGGGTCATGCTTGCCTGGGTTTAGTCTGGTTCTTCTTTGCTGCTGCAGCCTCACTCGCTTTGATTGGCTCAGGAAGTTTAGAAGGAATTGGAGAATTCTGGATTACAGAAAAAAAAAAAAAAAAAAAAGCAAAATCTTTTAAGAAATTGAATTTCCATAAGACAGCATTATCAGTGACAACGGTACAGAAACAATTTGACAATAAAAACTTCCTGCAGTTGGCAATAGCTGACGAGCATTTTTCACTGTTTGTAACAGATGAGTTAGTGCAGATGTGACAACTGGTTGATCAGGCAGACAGCCCATAGCAGATTCTACTGATACAACATGAAAATCAATTCCTGATGAGGGAGAGCAAAGCATTTCCAAATATTTCCGCTGACGCTGGTGCTGAGAGACACTGACCTTCACATTCTGGACAGGACAGGTCCGCTGAGCTAGTTTAAAAGCAAAGAATGACACCTGGTAGATATCTGGCCTTTTGTCTGGGTCAGGCTCCAGCATGTACCCTGAAAAAAAAAAAAAAACACCAGGAAGAAACAAGACAGCGTGACTTGGAAAGTGGGGAGTTATGAAAGTCTGTATTCACACACACAAGTGTGCTCCTTTGTAAAAAACATGAGTTAATGTTTAAGGAGGACTAACGAATGAGGCAGTGAAGATCATAAGAGTAGCGCGAGTTGTCTGGAATGGTGAAGCTGCCATCACAGATGGCCACCTGGCTTTCACCAAAGGGCAGAGTGAAGAAGCACACTTTGTAGAGCAAACAGCCCAGCGCCTGGGAGAAGACAAGCACACGATCGCCGCGTCACACCACACAAACACAGGAGGAGACGGTTAATAAAGAATATCAATAACACACAGAAAGTCACACAACAAATAGCTTTTCCTCTCTACATACCAGTAGATATAATGTTGAAAACTATGTATTCAATTAGCTTATAAAGTTCCCTTTTAAGAACAAACAATCACTAAAATGTACTTCACAAATCAACAGGTTTAATATTAGTCTAACTAACATTATGTTTAGCTTGGATTCTACAGTAAAACACACTGTAACTGTAGCACAGTGCATGACTATCACAGACGTCTGTCCTCCTCACTCACCCAGACATCGGCTTTTGTGGTGATGATTTTATTATTGTAGAGGTTCACCATCTCAGGAGCACGATATGATAAAGTGGTGTACCTGAAAGGAAACAGGAATAGGTCAGTGAGTCAGAAAACTGACCGTTTCTTAATGTGGCCTCTACATTATTATGTGCTCATAGACGCACACGAATGCTAATGAAAGCAGCGGATTTATACATTACAAATTTAACTTTGCATCAAATAAAGCCTAAGAGTGCTGTGCTGTGCCCTGCAGTCTATTTGAAGTATGAGGTGAATGATTCCATTAGTCTATAAAATGTCAATAAATCTGCTCATGAAGGAAAAACTGCAGACAGTTTCTGTGCAGCCATGACTTAAAGGAGTGCGAGCTGCAAATATCTGCCGAAGCAGACAAAGAGAGGCACAAACTTCTTGATCTCTTCCTCCACGACGGCCACTCCTTCAGTCTGCGGGCTCTGGAACTTGTTGGTGGCGCTGCCAAAGTCACACAGCACATAATGACCCTTGTCGTGCAGGAGGATGTTCTCCACCTGAAGAGATATACGAGAGAGATGAGACTCGCACACAGTCATGTAGAGCAACATGGGGGGGGTCATACATGAAAAGGACCCCGTTAAGAGGCGGCCCAGTACTTGATCCATTCTGCCAAACCAAGCACAGGGGTTTCCTGCCTCCTGCTACATGTACACTGCAGACAATGATGAATACAAAAAGGTGAGGCCACCCTTTAAGTCTTTAGGATTCAAGTCAGTTGACTGTGCTCTGCAGAACTAGATAATAAAAATATACACACAGCATGGTGATCCACAGTGGGTGTTGCCCCTGAGTGAACACAGTGGGTTGCCTGTCCTGTCCTACACACTGCAGAGCACTTCACAGGAGAACAACGGCAGAATTGTGTCACCTTAAGGTCTCTGTGGATGATGGGAGTCTTGCGCTGGTGCAGGCGAGAAACGGCATCGCAGGTGTCGCAGAAGATCTGCAGCACCTCCGCCTCAGTAAAGCCGGTCTGCAGCCTCTGATTCATCAGATTGACCACCTGGCCCCCTGCAAAACAATATCCAGTTACACACAAACAACAGGGACACGGCGTCACCGGTGTATGAATGAGCCTGAACTTGGGTGTGCTCTTCTTTTAAAACGCTGATATTGTTCATATCATTCTGAAACTGTTACCCAAACTCCTTGAGTAATTGAAGCACATTTTCCTGTCACGCTCACCCTTGCAGTAGTCCATGAGTATGAGGACCTCCCATACATCCCTCGATCCCATAGCCGTAATACTGGAGTCCAGGTAACCGACGATGTTCTTGTGACCGACGAGGTCTTTCTACAAGGACACAAACACACGTTCAAGAGCGTCAACAAACCGCTGTCCATCAAGTGTGAACCAAAAAGCACAACGTCTGCAAAGCTGTTGCATATACATGACCGGTGAAGCATTTTAATACCGACATGGTTTTCTACTTTGCATTCGTTATTCTGGAAAGATGCCACAGAAGCGGCAAAATGAAATCTGACAGCCGACAAGTTTTAATACCATAAATCATTTAATTCTATCCGGTTATTGTTTAGTGATGCAGTTTGATGCCATAACCTGCAGGGGGAGCTGGAAGAGAAAGCTGAAAATCAAGAGCCCATTAGGTAATGAAAAAATGTCAAGTACTGTGCCTGAGGTGAAGCACCGTCTGTCTCACTGTCTGTCTGTCTGTCAATGGGCCTCTGTGTGTGCATATGTGTGTAAGAGAGCAAGTGAGAGAGAATTGATTGGATAGAGAGGTAAAGAAAACATGTCATGTGATGAAGAGGAATGACACTCCAGGGATCACCTTTAAACCAAAGTTGAGGGCCCGTCAGTGCTGGTCTCAATAGCAAAACTAGGACCTCAGCTGTTAGAAAGTACCGCATGAGATTCTGTTGAACGTTTATACAATCAGCCATGTTTTTGTAAATGACCAGCCATTGCTGCCTCCCTTCCTTCCTGAGTGGTGCTTCAGACAGAGAAGAAACATGCTTTGTGTGAGCTCACTGAACGTAGGAATCCAGCAACACAAAATGCTTCACAAGCAACTCTTCTGATGGAATATCTACATATTGTGATAAGCTACCATGACATGCATGTCTAGTATACACATACACGCCAAGAGGTCAGGCAATACAGAGATAGTCTTCCATCTTATCAGCGTGTGATCCTTATCTACATTAAAGTTATAGCAGGGACACATTCAGCTCAATGTTACGGGAATTTGGCAAAGACCCCGTAGTGGAAAAACTAGAACGTTTTACCAAACAATGAATGCTTCAGAAAAGATGATATTCATACAAATACCACCTACAACTCATTGCACAATAGCTTGCAGGGGGAGAGCACAACATGCACGACAACACTATGAAAACAAAAACAAAGCACACCAAGAACCAGATGAATAAATACAGTTCAACCATCCAAACAACGCTGCTGCAGGCTCTGTGTGTTCCCAGCACTTCTTCTGAGTCATTCTTGAGAGAACAGAGAGCTTGCATGTGTGGATTTATTGGAAAGTTCAAGCACAATTTAAGTTTCACTTTGTTTTGTAGTGGCCTTCACACAGTTTGTGACGTCCCATAGAATAATCACACGAGCTCACAGGGGGAACAAGCAGAAATATTGAACCTCAGCCACTCACCATTATTTGAATCTCGCATTTGCACACCTGCAGATCATGCTCGTTGTTGACATACATCCTCTTCAGGGCGCAACGCACCCCTTGATTTGTTCGCACGAGGAACACGATTGCGAAGCCACCTGCAGGATCGAGCAAGAGATGGTAGACATATCATACGACATGATTATTACCAGATTACATCACAATCAATACAACAATTGAAAGGATGAAAGCATCACAACATTCTCACAAGTTTCCCTTTTCGGAAATGTAGCTGACACGCTCATTTTTACACCCAATTACTGCCACCACTGTTGCGATCTGAGTCCACGTAGCTGTACGTCAATGCGGACAATCAGGAACAAATGGCGCAGCCTTATAGCCTTATGCATTAGTCATGTCATTGCTGCAGGGTTTTACATGGAGGCCAAACCATCTGGTATAGCTCAGACCGCAGATTCACTTTGCAGAGTTTAGTTGTGACAGAGTCATCAATTTCAGGCAGACATCGCGGCTTGTACTGCATCCTCAACTTGACATGGATGAAAGGCTATTGTACGGCACAGTAACACTGTAAATCAGCAAGAGATACCCATGAACACGAGTGCAGACTGAGGCTGAGGGTTTGCATCAATACTAATAATAATACTGTAAAAGGAGACGTAATTACTGCAGCCTTTGTGGGTAATAAGATTAGTAGCTTGTGTCCAATCAAAAGTGAGAGTTAAGGAATGTCCAGAGGTAAGAACATCGCCGCAAAATTGTCTTATTCAATATTTATACTGTACTGGATGCTCTTGGCACACATGATGTTCAAAACACTACAAATAGAAATGTAAGAACAACAAAAAGATGTTTAAAATGATGAATAGCATGATTGTTTTGATCATGTACAGGCCTCCCATTCAGCATTAGTAATCTACCCCCACTTTCACTCAGCTTTCAGTGTACACTAAACCCTCATTTATTAATATTAAAAAGGGATCGAATAACCGCTGTCCGGCACCAGGTAGGTCTCCAAATCCATGAATCACACTTACGAATCATAAAACAGCTAACAGGAAACTGTTAGTCAGAGCACAGCTGACAGAAAACAGTGGGCCTCTTCTTCTCCTTTTTTTTGCATTCATGTATCCAAGAAACATAGATGCAAAGCTGCATAATTCCTGTGGGGATGGAATAAGGCTATACATCCCCTGCTCTGTCACGTGACTCATGCATGTGGCTTGCAGGGCACACATCATACTCATGCAACTATATAAGGGGGCCCAAAAACAAACAAACCCTTCTCACCTTCAGCAATGATCTCCTCAACAGTGACTTGGTGCCGCCCGACAGTGAAGGCTCTGCCGATGAAATTTCCGCCCGCATGACTGGACCCAGAGCTGCCACCTCCTCCTCCAGAACCGGGCCCGGAGTTCACCAACTCCCGGCGAGAATCGAAGAACTTCCTCATGTTGGCGAATTGACTAGGAGTATTTTGCGGCTTCGATCACACACACACACACACACACACCCACACACACACACACACACACACACGCACGCACGCACGCGCTGATAAAGTGATTCCTGTGCAGTGGATTATTGCACTGATATATAACGCAGGTCAGATTGTAAACCTGGAGAAGTCGACGCTTCAAGCAAGTCTATTTGCAGCCTTTTAAAACATGCAGTGATGCCTTTTTTCGCCACTTATGATGTTGAGACAACACAGATTTTTTTTGGGTGGTAAATGTCCCATTTGCTTGCCAACACAGGCCAGTTGGTGATAGCTAGAGCGGTTGCGACTAGCCGTTATGTAAGTGCGTTAACACCACCCAGGAGGCTAAAGCATCTCCGGAGAAAGTATTTCTTTAGCTATCCATCCAGCTGTTCACGGTCGGCTGCTGCTGATGATAACACAAGGTCCTTCTCCATCTCGTATAGCCATTACCAAGCTAGCTCAGTGCTAGCTACTTACGCGCTATGACATTTCGTGTAAGGTTATCCAGGTTATCCTCTGAAGATAATGTCTTCGGGTGCGATGTATCCGACGTCTAACTCGTGTGATAGCGTTCCCCGAAAAAATCTTTCCATCCTCAGTCAAGTGCAGCAACCGTTAGACGGCACATAGCTGCCTGTCCAGCTATTTAATTGCTTCCTTTTACATTAAAAGCTGTGATTTTTAGTAAGCTAGCGCAGTAGCGCGATGCAGCCGTTTATCAACACATATAAAGCGCAGAGTCGACAGGAAACTCAAGCCTCCGTCTGTTGCGACTTGAAATGAGAAACCATATAATTTGACATCTACCAAAACATTAGGCAGAGGTTTCAACCCAGCAGCCTAATCTCTGCAACCACAGCAATCTGGCTGCCCGCGATATCGCAACATCCTAGCTGTTGCTGTCGACGCGCGGACGGAATTGTGGGTATTGTAGTTGCAGAGCGCCGTTGCAGCCTCCCCTCCCCCTCAGCGTATGAGGTCATACGACGCGTTCAAGTCACATCGCTGAGCCCGTACACACCAGAAGTTAGGAAAACCGTTCACTGTCAGCCTCTATTTAAGGGGACATTGTGTTGACCGTGTGTTAACTACTCTGGGTTGTACTGTACGTGCAATAAAATATGTGAGAGTAATAAGCCAATGCTTTATCAATACATCTGTGAACATGTAAACACGTAAATTCAATCTGCCACCACCACTATGTTTACACAGGCACAGCATGAATGATCGGCTGAAAGCTTTTATTTTGTAAACTTCACTGCCAGCTGAGACAAAGCAACAAGGAGGACAGAGGAGAGGAGGAATGACTGATACTGAAAGATGTCTGTGTTCTTCATTCTTTATAAACTTCACACAGAAATGTTATTTATTATATTGACATTTTACTTTTGTTTCCAGTGAGATATTAATGACTTTATATAGTGACTTTGCTGCTCTAGAAACAATATTTAGCTATATTTAAATTATAAATAACTTCGAAATCTGTTCAATTCATTTGTTTTTAAAATCTTGTATATCTTTTTGAAAACAGTTAGGGGAATGAGGGGTATTTAGGTGGTTGCAACCTGCCACAAACTACTCAATGCTACTAAATCTTACACACTGTCCCTTAAGTATTAAAAAGGTGAAGGTCTGTATTATTGGATTATTATTACTTATGCGTTAATATAAAAGCAGTATTGTGGCCTACTGTTTTTATTTGGTAGGGGTGGAGCATTTTTTTAAACTATCACTTTCATTATGGGTTTATCGGCTGACTGTCGTTTTGTTTGTAAAAATTCGGAAAAATAGTTGCAAATGTGTCATAATTAGGCTACACAAAGCTCAAAGTGACACCTTCAATGCTCGTGTTGTCCAATCAATAGTATGCAATCCAAAATTATTAAAAACAATAAGAAACAACTAGAAGCAGCATATTCTCATATTCCTGCATTAATCTTGTTTCATTTGTAAAAGTATCTAAAGCTGTCAAATAATTGCAGAAAAGTAAAAAGTACAGTATTTCCCTTTAGTAGTTGTAGCTTCGACATTCCGTGAATGCAGCGTGAAAGGAGGATCCTGCCAAATAAATTGCATGAAAGTGGGTGGGACGTGAGAGCAGCTGTAAGATATAAACTGCAGCAGCCTTCTGCTACGTTGACGCTTTCACCTTTTGACGAGCTTCACGTGGATACTTTGTCTTCAGGACAGGTGAGATGCTGTTCCGGTGTCGGGCAGTCATGCCGTTTCTTTGGTGCTTTGAGTTATTGATTTCGGTGGAGTAGAGCTCAGACTGAGGCGGTTAACCCTCCGTCTGAAGGGTGTGCCCACCAACTTCATAGTCAACTGTTCATAAGTGCTCCGCTTCCTGAATCACTTTGAATGCGACGCTTTCTCAGCATTTTAAATAATCCAACCAAGCTACCCGGAGGATCATAGTGCAGCTTTTTATAATTTTGGGGAACACATTTCATTTTCAATAACTTTGGAAACTATGGTAAAGCCTTTTCAGTCTTTGCTTTCAATATAGGACACAGCGGACTAAACTTTCTCACTATTGCTCAATATCCAATGAAATTGCTGACGTCATAAAATATAATAATATCCAATAAATCATGCATTTGAGGTTAAACAGTTGCATCCAGGATACTTATCCCAGGTATAGTTTTGACAGGTGAATGACCTTCAAGCCCCGACACACACACACACACACAATGTCCACATTTACACAATTAAAGTGAAGTGAAACACACTGATGTGGTTCATACGTGAAGCTAACCCACATTTTGTTTGTTCAGAAGAGGCTTTCATAATATTTACACTATTTGTGCTTTAGAAACTGGATCCACTTTGTGTGTATTTACATCTGTGGTCCACAAGCATGTTATGAAGTGTTTGTAGTCAGTATTTACACCACGCAGGTGTGGCTGACCTACACACACACACACACTGTTTGATGAGTGAGTGTCTCTACTCTCAAATTCCAGGACAGATGTCACGTTTTTGTCTAAAAACTCCATTGTGCTCGAGTGAAAATGGAGCGAGGTCTTGTCAAAGTAGAACATAAGGATCGTGTCGACTAAACGGGCCTTCTCAATAACTAAATAATAATAAATTGATTTTGACAGATCTATGATAACTACGTCAGAGGGTAGGTTGATCCCTGCAGCAAAATAGGAGGGAAACTCCTCCATAGTTGCTCTCAGTGGAGTAATTACAGGTGTGTCCAAACAAACAGCAGCTATTTGAGATTAGCTCCTGGGACGACCAGCTCAGACGAGGGACGCAAGAGAGCCCATGACCAAAAGCGTGTGACGGAAACCCTCTCTAAGATGAACTGCATACAATATTGATCAGAGGATAATGAGGGTCGCATTTTAACAATTTACTTCCCCTAACACTGCATTGAATTTGTTATTTTTGTGTTATAAACGGATCATTGTGCGAGTGACGAAACTAACATTATGCATTTATTCTTTTATAGCTTTCTGCACCTCCAGTTTGGAAAATCCTCATTCTTCCTACAATGGCAGCGGTGAGTCCGTCCTATAGCTGATGTTCCATCGAGCTGGACAGACAATAGTCATATAATCAACTGTATTTACATGTATTTGCATCACCAGCAGAGGCTGTACACTGGACATGAGATGCTTTTGTTGTGCTTGGTTTTGAATAGGCCTGGGTAGCAATAAAATATGAAAATGTTCATCTTTTATTATAACTCTGTTGTAATATGGTACTGTTGTAATTCACAATTGCTACTGTAACTGGTGATAAAATCTTAACTCTACTGTCATGTTTGTTTTAAACTAAACAGACACAAATTGTGGTATGAAATTATAGTCAATATAATTTTTAAGTTTGCATTTTTTTTTCTTGATGTTACTCTTAATACTAACTTAATACTTCAATGTTATTGTCAGCCGTTTAGCAAATTTAATTCACAGCGAAAAGTCATAAAGCAGTGTCGAAAATCCTTTTGGTCTTTTTGATTGAGACTAAAATTGACCATTCCAGCTGTGGAAATGATCCTAATTGATGTATACAAGTCGGCTATGAATGACTCAAAAATACATTTCACATCATTTTAAAAAAAAAAAAAAAAACCTCCATAAATTACTTACAAATTCTTAAAAGCACAACCCTTTCTTATAAAACTCCAGAATCGTTCATTTCAAAAGTTCAACTGCTTGACACAAGATGTCTCCTACTTCAGTGAACAGTACATTGATGTGCTATGGGTGTTTTAAATCCCCACACCTTGAACTCAGAGGTATGCTGAAAGGTGAGCAGAGAGAAACATTCTCCCTTTTTAAGAAACATGTGAAAACAGCCTTCTAGTGTCAAACTGCACATACATCCTCCCGCACAGCGAAGGTCAAACATCCAAGTGAAAGCAAACTTTCTTTTTTTTTTTTTTTTTAGTGAAAGGGGAATTTAAGTGTGTGTGTCTGTTTATTTTATTTCTGTTTAATAAATAAATTACATTTTTGTCACTTATGATCAGATTGGAAAGCGTGGAGCAGTGACTGAGGCGGCCGGTTTCAATGCCGAGGCTGATGTCCAGAGTCTGAGAGAAGCCATGAAGGGAACTGGTGAGTGATCCAGCCGCTGCCATCCAGAAACCATCGGTAGCTAAAGATGTGTTTGACTGTGTCATTAAGCCTCCATGAGGAAAGTGACTCTTTTCTTTGGCCTGTATCCTCCTCTCTAGGAAAGCTTGAAAACTAAATTCAGTGTGTCATCATGGCAGCTTTAGCTTTTCTACTGTCATAGCCCATTCACCCTAACAAACATTCAGGAGCACATAACAATGCCTCTATTTCTCTGTCATCAGATTTTCAGCACAGCATGTTGATGCTGTTAGGGCTGGCTAGCGTAATCATCGTCGCCTGACTCTAGTTTGAGCGCGATTGAAAGCAGATGGTTTCTATGCTGATGCAAACAAACTGTGTGTGAAGATTATACTCCAGGGTTGCAGCACTGGTGCCTGATTCTATGTCTTTCACATTGGGGCTGCACTCTTGTTCTTCAATGATTCTCCAAGAATAGGACTATATGATCATTTAACAGATTCTGTATTGTATTATGTCTTGCAGGCACTAACGAGGAAGCTATCACCAAGGTCCTAGCACACCGTACTAATGCCCAGAGGCAGCGCATCAAAGAGGCCTACAAACAATCAGTGGGGAAGGTGAGAGTTTTGACTGAGCATGCGCTCAAAGGCAGCAAAACAAAGTTTCTCTGTGATTGCGCTTTTCAACATCAGTCCACATGCATGAAGCAGGAGAGGCACAGAAACGGCAGCTGGAGCGCCAGAGGAATTAAAAAAAAAAAAGCAGCCTTGATGGAGACTATTGGCAGCAGCCGTGGATGTGTCATCTCTTATTCCATTGTGTACACTCTCAGTCTTTGACTTGAGGTTGCTGTGCTAACATACTGCTGATAATGTGCAAGTTAATCATTAACTGGAAAGCAGAAATGAATACCTCCCTGTAACCAAAGACCAGGACAGAGAGGGCCTTGTCTTCTGGAGGAAAGTCAAATTTTCACAACCAACAAAAAAAAAAAACAGTGAACCCACAGAGGTACGCTTCCCTGCTGGCCGTTTCTTTGTTGCATGATTATATGGATCAATATAGTAACAAAAAGGGAACTTGGATGTTTATTGTATTTCCATAATGAGATAATAACCCACTGTGCAGTGTCTGGTTAGAGGTCGATAAAGTTATCTGGAAGTTCCACAGAGGGAGCTGCAGAATCCTCGCAGGCAGAAAAAGTGAGTCATGTTGCACATATGGTGACGCCCACATGTGGTCACATAGGCGAGTGGTGTTTTTCACAAAACCGTCTCCAGAAACCACACCCTCTAGTGGAGACAAGTCCTGCTGCTGGAAGTCATGCCTCATGTCCACGCTGGCAGCACAAAACCCGAACACAAAGCCAAGATTTACTTGTTTTTTTTTAATGTGAAGATAATTAGCTTTCGTTACAGATGCCCCACTTGATTTCAATTATTGAAGTACTTGGAACGACTGGTGGGATGTTTTTTGTTCTGTTAATCCATCTGCTCCCGTCCTCCTGCAGGACCTGGCTGACGATCTGTCCTCGGAGCTGAGTGGGAACTTCAGGTGTGTCGTTCTAGGTCTGCTGATGCTGGCGCCTGTGTACGACGCCTACGAGCTGAAAACTGCCATAAAGGTCAGAGTTCAGGATCACATGATCGTCTGTATTGTTCATATCGTCAACAAATCCCATGAAAAGACCAAAGCCGATCATGAATTCACCCTCAAACAAGTAGTGTTTGTGTATCGTCCAAAGGCTTCTTCGTTCAAAATCACATCAAGCAGACACACCGTTGCACTGAGTCACATGTTCCTTCATTACAATGAAGCTGGGCAGTGTGGTTAATTTTTAATCAATCATTTTCATTTCGTCAATCTTTCATACACCTCTCTGCTGCCGTAAAAACTCCTCAGTGTATCAAATGCGTATTTATCCGCAGCTGAAAGTAGTCCCCAACAAATACACAATTTACTCCTGTTTGAGTAATGTTAGCTTAAAAACTACAGGGCGCTGCTGTTTTAAGTAGTTATTAAGACTTTTTTTTTGAAATAAGTGTGTATTGGTGACATGTCTTCAGTACATGTAATTGGGGCTGAGAGAGACACACTGGTATTTGTTTAGAATAAAAAAAATATAGAATCCCACCAAACTACATTTCCTTTAGTTCATAAATGTCTCATATTCTCAGTGTAAAGCATCACACCCTCGTGTCTTCTTGTTTCTAACACGTGTCCAAATCCATTCATCAACAGGGGGCTGGAACTGAAGAGGCCTGTCTTATCGATATTCTGGCCTCAAGGACAAATGCTGAAATAAAAACCATCAATGAGTTGTACAAGAAACGTAAGTGTGTCGCTTCCGTCAGCAGAATTTATGACGTCAGGTCGTGGTACGTCTCAGTGTCTGTCGGTGCCTATGGGTTGTGAATGATATTCGATATTGTGTATCAGTGACAGAGCCTCTGTTCTTTATTTGGAGATGCAATGACATCCGTTATTAGAAAACAGTGGATGGCATGAATTATTCATAAAAGCCATTGCTGCTCTCTATGAGGCAGTTTATTGTTTGCGTAGTTGTTCTTTTGTGGTTGCAGTGGCGGCAGTCGGCAAGTATTGTCAAAGTGGGTTTAAATGTCTTTCAATGTGTATAAATACATTGTTTTGTGTTACATGTACATTTCATATACGAACAGTCTGGTGAATTTAGATCACAACTCATTTAATATTAATGAAACTGTATTCGGTTGTAAATATTTGATTTCCAAACCTCATTATTTTTACTAATCTCAAAGAAAGCCATCTAGTATGCGGTGGCTCGTTATGTCAGTTTGCATTGATTGTTCTGCTCCATAGTCGTTAGAATTGAACAAGCATTTGATTAAGTGCTTTATATTTTATTTTCGATTCATGGCAGAACATGGGAACACCTTGGAAGACGCTGTGTGTGGAGACACATCAGGGATGTTCCAGAGGGTTTTGGTCTCTTTACTGACGGTGAGCAAACATTAGCCCATAACCTCTTCTGGCTTTGGCCAGTGTGAATGTTTTAGTCGCACATTATTAGAGATCACAAAGTAGTGCATTCTATAAACTGTAGATTCAAGTTGATGAAAAATGTAGGTCAAGTAAAAAACAAGTAAAACTTCTAAAGTAGAGTATTAAGTATTAAGTATTCCTTGCTGGAAAGCATTTGATGAAATACATTTCCCTTTGAGTTGATTTGTAACAAAGAGTTTTGAAATGTTTTTGGATGTATAAAATGTCAGCAAGAAGTTGGTGTGAAAACCTTATCAACCACCGTCTGTGGAGGAAGCAGCAGTCACTTCTGCGTGATAAAAACAGAAACCGTTTCCTCTTTTTTTTTTCGCTTTTCCAATGTTGTGCAACCCTACACTGGCTTTCTGTTAAGCTGTTCTGTTTTCTGCATCGCAGGCCGGTCGGGATGAAAGCGACAAAGTGGACGAGGCCCAGGCTGTTCTCGATGCCAAGGCAAGAGTCCAGGTTCTTCAGATGAAAGCATGCGTTTCAATTATGGCTCCCAGTTATTTTAACGTTTGTGATTTATAGGACATCTATGAGGCTGGTGAGGCACGATGGGGCACGGACGAGGTTAAATTCCTCACGGTGCTTTGTGTGAGGAACCGAAACCATCTGCTGCGAGGTATTCTTACAGCACATTCACAAACACCATGTTAAAATCTAGACACTTCATATCCTTGAGTTTATAAAAGAAAATACTACCTTTTACTTCATGTAGTAGACTCTGGGGATTTTACTGACTCTTTGTGGCAGTTTTAGGAGAAAACTCATTATTAAGCCCCTTGCACAATGGACAAAAACACACTAACACCCACAAACATTAGGATTTTTGCCTTTAGTGACAAAGGTTACAATTGCCAATTCATTCCCAAGACAAATGACTGCAGTAGTCACGGGTATTTATCGGCGTCAGCTCCCATCGACAGTGGTGGAAACATGACAAACGGGTGGACAGGATCATTTTCGGCAATTTTCCAGTGCGACGCTATGTGAATCAAACAGGGATTCGGACAATTACAATATATTAACGTACAAAACATACAATTAATATCTTTAATCTTCATAGACCAAGTGTGTGGTGTCAAGAGTTTGATAAAGAAAAAGCAGTGTGTGATGGTCGTCTTCTTCCTGCAGTGTTCGAGGAGTACCAGAAGATTTCTGGGAGGGACATTGAGGACAGCATTAAGAGGGAGATGTCTGGATGTCTGGAGGACGTCTTTCTGGCCATAGGTTTGTTTCTGCTCTGACATGCGCCATCAAATAGACATCTGTTGCCAATTTACAAAGATTCAACACAGTTGCGAAAGCTGTTACCATTTAAGTTCAAATGAGCACAGACAAAGAAAAAGCCAGAAACCATCATTTTAACTTTATAGACAGAAAGTACTGTAAAGTACTGGGCAGAAACGCACTGCACTCTTAAAACAGAGCTTCCACACTTCCACCACTGAGCTTATTGTATCCATGTTGTGAGAGCTTTGCACCTCATGTACCGGGATTTGTTTTTGCTTTACAGTGAAATGCATAAGGGACAAGACGGCTTTCTTTGCAGAGCGATTATACAAATCAATGAAGGTAAATATTTCATGCTTCTAATGGAGCTACTATACTGAAATGTGAAATGAAATCCATCTATGTACCTATCTCTATAAACTCCAGCGCCATGTGAACACTGTGTCTCTCGTCAGGGGCTGGGCACTACAGACAGTGTGCTCATCAGAATAATGGTTGCGAGGGCGGAGATCGACATGTTGGACATCAAGGCGCAGTTCCTGAAGATGTATGGCAAAACTCTCTACTCCTTCATCAAGGTGAGGCACTAAACACTGGGGGCGGGACATACTCAAGTCAGCAAAAAACTCTGCAATACATCAGCTGTGATATTATTGGAATAATTGCGATTCTCACTTCATGTATTGCCTTAATGTAGTTTTGAACTGCGACGAGACTTCAATGCATTACCGCTGCCATTTCAGATGGTTATCTTAAGATAAATCATTTGAATTGTCTGTCTGTTTTTTTTTAAAAAGGTCTTTTGACAGTTTGGATTGGTGACACTGATTGCAGTTATTCCCTACACTGGTCCTTTTGAAGTCTCACAGATCTTTTTCTCACTGTGTAGGGAGACACATCTGGAGACTACCGTACAATCCTGCTGCAGCTGAGCGGAGGCGAGTAAAAGAAACCATCAGAACGACTTCCAGCTCTTTATTTCACATTATGAGCTCTTATTCTGTTGAAGACTTCCTTTATCTTACGTTCTCTTCTTCCATGGCCTTCACATTTCACTGATTGAACATGCCTTGTTTTACTGTTTTAACTTCAATACCAATTAAACCAAAGACCAGTGACCTTTTACACCTCTGTTTTCATTATTGATCCCGTGTTAAGGATTAATTAATGGTATCAGAGATATTTATGCTTCTCACATCTCTAAGACGATAAAAGAGTACAGGCCTCCAGCTGCCGGTCTTGTTACAGCGCAACATTTTCATCCGCGTCCAGTCAGTTAAGTGCATTTCTTTAATTGGTAGCAATTACTCATTTGTTGAGTCAGCCCTTTGTCATTTCACTCAATTACATTAACGGGATGCCAGCTTGATTTGGTAGGCAGTAAAATGTGTTCTAATCAAGTTAAGGAGAATGTCCCATAGCTCATACAAACTTACAGTCCTCCATCTCGCAGCAATACGCCTGGGAAATATTCTGCTGTGGTTGCACTCAAGGAGACCACTAGGTGGAACCAAAATAACTACATGAAGCCGCCGGGAGCGCAGCAGTGCAGGAGAATCTATCGGCATCATTTGTTTGTGAAAAGTACAGAGCTCAACGTCATGTTTTTTTTTTTTTTTTTTCCCCATTTAGCTGCAAAATATGACTCCCCTACTCTTGCGATGTCGAATATATTCTTCCACTGTCCTTGGGCAACCTAAGTCTGACTCTCTTGAATCTGGCTTGTGCTGCGTACATTTGTAAAAGAACAAACAGTTGAGATCCCTGCAGTGCACTCACTCTGTGTGTGGCACCAACAGGAAGAAGAAACATCACTAAACCCCAATTAGACCAGTCACGCTATTAGACAGCCAAAACGACTGCATATGTCTTTGAGGGGCTGGCACCCTCTGTGGACATCTGCTAAAAGCCTCATTTAGTCACTTCACAGCATTCAGATGTTTTTAAAGGCAAAAGCTGGAGTTGATCCCAGAAAAGAGTTTATTTATTAAACATTGTCTCAGTTGTTTTTTTTGCTATTTTTTTCGTCTTTGTATCCTTAAACGCAGCAACTACGGTGGCTCTTTTGCAAATGTTAAACATGTGACATTATAAAATACTATCAGTATATCATTCAAATGAAATGCTTCTGCTTCATCATGTTCAAAATAAATCCTTTTTACGCATCTTTAATTCATGGTATTCAGAGGATTTGTTGTTTTTCATTGTGTAAAACATGATCTAAGACTACATCACTTAAAAAGACCATAAAATGAAATGTTTCTACAGGACAGCCAGAGAAACCACTTCCGCCATCGACTATTCTTGATGTGAATGTGAAGAAAGCATCGCAGCCAGGAGTGTTTTATTTTATATGTCTGTATATTTGATTAAAACGAAGTTATGAGGTTTGGGGCGTGCAGGAAATCCTTGATACATGTAGAAAAGCCCAAACAGATAAACGAGAGACGAAGCGTGTACAGCAAACAAAAACATAAGTAAAAGGTATTTACTGAGCACGAGGACACACAGGAAGTTTGTTCATATCCACTTTCACGGCATTATAAATATATCTTAATCATAATGGGAATGAGCACACGGCAATTACCACCATGGCAACATAAATAACATGCACGGTAACGGCAGCCATCCTAATGCTTGCTGTACACTCAACCTTCTGCCGGCTGACATATGTAGGAGGTAAGATGAGTCATAACAGAAGATAATTATCATCAAGCAACCAAAGAATAAGTCAACGCTACAGCTACTGTCGCTTCAACCCTGGTGCAGCTTCAATGTTACCTTGAGACAGAAAGCATTAGATTTGAAGTGTCATGAATCATTTTCTTATTAATCATAAATTCACTTTAATAAGGCGATGCACTGCAGATGTTTTTTTCAAGCACTGGTCTTCTTTCAGACTAGTGGAAATAAAACGTCCAAAATACACATTTAAGTGTTTTTTACTACACTTTGTCCATTTGAATCTGTAGATATCTCATATGTTCACCAAAGGTTATTGTTAGATAATGTCTCATTTTCATTTTCAAACACAACATTTCAGAAAACTTACCAAAATACTCAAAAGAATTGTCTTAGTGTAAGTAATCAGCTGGGGAAGCTTCATGGTGATATCCACTGTTGGACTCAAGTGGGGGGGGTTCCCCCATGTTTGAACAAACCGCAGAAAAAGTGCCCTCTTGTGTGCAATTTTGATCGATAAATCATGATGGGGTTCCCTCTAGGAAGTGCCCTTCTAGTGGATTAAAAGCGATGTGCTCAGCTGGTGCCCTTTTTGTATTTTTTACCTCTGCCCCTGAGACTAGTCCGCCACTGGTGAGCACTTACGTACACCAAACTTTCAACTTTTAAGTTTTTTTTTATTTTTTATTCATAGCCTGGTTTATATAACATTCTATTCCTAAAATATGGTGAATTTTCTTTTTTTTATGGCTCTTGTATTAAGTAAGTAAGTAAAAAACTTGACTAATACGTCAACAAAATAAAAACAAGGATTTTGAATGTGGCTTTACTCTGTTCCCGTCCTGTTTGGTGGCTGATCCAAGCGACACAGTGATGGATGTGCAGAGAACACACTGGATTATTGCGGAGTAGAACTGGATCATCAGGTCCTGAGGCAGGTTGAGCTTCTTGAGGTGGCGCAGGAAACACATCCTCTTCTGGGCCTTTTTTGCTGAACGTGTCCATGTTGGTCACTCACTACATCCGATGCGTCAGGACGTTTGTGATCCACTGACAGGTGGAGGCTGGGACAGTACGCTGTATGAGTTTGGAGCAGAGAAGTAACAGACTGTCTCTTTCGCCCTCACAAAGGAACGAACCTAACTTCATGTCCTTTTCTCTAACACATTTAATTAGCAGTAAAACTGCATACATCTGAAGATTGTCTGGGGTGGCTGCCTGAAATTTGATTAGAAAGAGAAAACTCAGGTAGTAAACTGTGTGACAAGGTCTCACCATCCATCAAGGCTTCGTGTAGGGCACATGGAAGACAGAAGAACAACCAGGAAGATAATGTCAGTCAGAGAACAGGCCTTTGTTCTAATCATAGGGGACAGCAGAAAACAAGGAGAGGGTGGAGAGAGTCAATCGAAACCCCAGCAGTCCACAAAGCAGTGGGATCGGGATCGGGGGGGCGATTGTAAGGCCTTCAGCCACCACAGCACCCTGCAAAAGTCATGAATAGAACTTGCATTTATTCTAAGAAATGAATATAAAAAGACTAATCTCACATATTAAATTGTTTCAATCATGAATCAAGGCCAAAATCAATCTAAACCACGACTGCTGCTAGATGCAAACACTAAAAGTCAAACCCATTGAAAAGAAGGCATTGACCTTCACCACAGACAGCAGCAACTGTAAAGGTGAATATGAAAACGGAGGAGCCAAGGGAAAGTTAAAGACAGTTACCACATGATGTCTAACATGTCAAGCACTTGATGTTTTAGAGCAACATGACAAACAACTGTTGCATTTTGGGGTGTAAATCAAATGTACACATCCAGCGGAGCAACATTGGCAATTTTATTTTGAGTCGTGTTTTGGCCACACGTAATATTCAGTCTCCTCTTAGCTCAGATTCTGGTTTAAACTAACTCCAGGGGAAATATGTTGCTCTTTTACTGCTAAATGTGTCTGTCGTTATAGTCTAGCTAGAGTGAGATTTTTTTTTTTTGCTTTTTCTGCTGAAAATTGATTTGATCGAGTTACGATAACCTGATATTTCACCCTCGTTTCAGCTTCACTTTAAGGGACACCTTGATCACCTTCAAGAAAACTACTTACAAAAATGGAAATTAAAACATCTGGACTAAAATTGACGACTGCATGGCAAACTTTGTACTTTATATGTAAAATCAGTGGAGTGCCCCTTTAATATGAGATTTGGTGGAACTGACCCTTTAAAACAGGACAGCAATTGTGCTCATTTCTGCCGTCACTACATCAGTATTCTTGAGTGCAGCTCTTCCACAAGTTCGCAGCCACAAACTGTGCTTGTTTACATCAGCGTCTGATGCAGAGATTGGACCTCAGAAAGACTCCCGGTGGCAGAGTTTAGTCTGAGTAAATGTGACTGGGGATGTAGAGCGATAACATGCAGCCTTATGGTGCGTTCACAACAAACGTTTGGTGTGTAACACGGCATAACTCTTACTACTGTAGCCAATTGTTTAGTTGTTTATGGGCTAGTTAGAGCGAGGGATATTGTTATGTTGTACTTCTCTGATATTGCTGTGGGTGGAGCATCCACACAGCAAAGTGAGCAGGGCCGCTGCATTCAGACGGGTTGGGAGTGAGAATGGGTTTCATTCCCTGCTAATCCAATTATATTATACTCATTTCAAACCAAAATGAAGAGCATTTTGTAAATGTTGCAGCTTCATATAACCAGTGTTTCTCATTTGTGAAAACACTTTGGGACACACTTAGATGAAAATTATTTTTTTTCTAATACACTTGAGTGTTGATGATAGAGCCTATGGGGCCCCTGGCAGCAGGTGGTCCATCTCCTTGACTACTGATCACTCCACATTGGACGTAATAGCATTGACACTTCAACATAATTTAGCATCTTTTAATAGACCGGCATTTTTTTTTTTTTTAAAGGAAATTCTCCCACTCGTGCTACTCAACTCCATCTGGCATACTTTTCTGGATGGAAGCATTGCACTGGTAGATAAACATGTTACTTCACACCAGAAGCATATTTCTCAGCACTGGTCAAATTGGCGATTCTGCTCCTCTGCGTAAGTGTGAGTCTGTTCGCTCCGATATTGGGAGGAACATGTCCCTACAGTCCATATCCAAACCTACGCCATTGCATCCTCTAAAGCTTTGATCATTTTGTGACTGTGGATCGATAGCCTCACAAATGTATTCTTTCTTTCTCTCTTACTAGTGTCTCACTGATTGACATGCCTGGCAGAATAAGATGGCAGTGCTGTCATTATAATGTACTGCTTTTGTGATGTCAACATACAGTGTAATGTGTATGAAATGTGTCACACGAAGAAGGAAGCAGCAGAGGCATACCTGCCTTCTGACTTCCAATATCAATTTTCCGCCTGCAGCGAAAAAGGTCATTTTCTTTTTAATAAAAGAAATGAAATGTCTAAGCCTGACTGCTATTTGGAACCGATGACATGTAACTGTGAATCACAGCGCACTTCAAAACCTGTTATCCAGGGAGGGTTTGTGAACAATGGAATTACTGGAAGCCCTCACTTGTCTAAGTGGGAGTTTAAGGCATAATGCTTTAAATGGAGACATTTTTCAAAAGCAGATTCTTGAAAAATGTTCTCCACTTCATTTGCACTTTGAATAGGTTTTGCTGGGGAAAAGGTTTTGATACAGAATCGGGTCTAGTTATGGTAAGGGAGAACTACAGAAAACAAGTTGTAACTGGCATGTTCTGCGGACGACAAACTTACCGCCTTTCACTGAGATTAAAATGTAACAATGGATAGCAAGTAGAAATGTTAAGATTGTGACATTTTTGGTCACCTAGATAGTTTGCAGATCATTTTCTATCTCTGCCAAAGCTTGTATACAAATCACAACAATTTAAATTCCCACTTTAATCAGCTCCATCCATAATCAATGCACAATTTGTGAAAACGGTGCACTAACGGTACATAAATAAAGTGTTACATCAGAACCGACAATGTATCCGTGCATGCATCGACAAACAATAATCAAGCCGCTCTCAGATAGAGTCCTGCACATGTCTGTGACCAGATCAATAAATCCCGTTACCGTCGTTATCAGTCCTGACCACTAACCAATCAGTTCAAGATCAAACGTCATCGTCATGGCCAACCCAGACATGAATCTGTTTGAGTCTCTGCCATCTTATTGGCTTACTGTCATTTCCACAGACATCTCTCTCTCTCTCTCTCTCTCGCTGCTTCTCGTTCTCTCTTTTTCTAAAACAGCAGCTTCTTCAGCTCACTCACTGAGAAGAAGCGCACAAGGAAGGTCCCTTCTTCATACTCACGCACTCAAGTCATCTTTACGCGAAGAAACTCCATCACAGGTGAGTTGCTGTGTAATATTCTTTATCTGTATTTGTTTGAATGTTTGTTCAGAGGTAGTGGTAGTGTCTTTTCTCCAAGAACAGAATAAGTAAATAACAAAAAAATAGAAATGTCATTAATGAATAAATATGATATCTTGGTAGTTGCAATAATACGCTATTTTCACATCATCCTCTTTTAAATGTCAAAAGTTACAGTGCTTATATTTGTTTGTAATTCAGGCAAAGACTTGATGGATCATTATGTAAAGGAAATGTGTATTTGCACACCCTGGATTATGCATATGTGTTTTTCATGTGTATTTACAGATATATGGGCAGAGCTATTGTATCAGGTTGTATCAAGACTTCTATAATAAATCCAGACCCTGCAAATAAGGTGGGAGATGAATATGAGCAAAGCTTCGAATATGGTATTCATAAAATTGAGGATACAAACACTGTGAAAATGAACACATCTATCTCATAGGAATAAAACAGGAGAAAAAACAAACATGTTGTCAGTATTATTACTTTTATTATTTTGTTTCTACACTGTAGCATCCAAGTTGATAACGTGTTGTGCCATTTGGTTTCAGCTCATACTGTATGTGTAATCATATTCAAGGAAAGTCACTGTGGAGACCAAGTGTCTGCTTTAGAAGAATAATTACTTTATTAATCCCCAGAGGGAAATAAATTGTCCCACTCCTTTTTATTTTACAAACACACACAGGACCCACAGACATGCAGTCGGAGGGAATTAGCACTTACGGGTTTGGTGCCCTGCTCAAGGGCACATCAGCAGTGCGCAGGAGCTGAGCGTGCACCTCTCCAGCTACCAGTCCACACTCGAGTCTTGCTCCGACCTGGACTTGAACCTGCACCCCTCTGGTTCTAAACACAAGTCCCGACGCCCCATTTTAAAATGAAACTACTAATTTGGTTTATGAAGATGAATATTCTGCATTTCATTTCTGCGGATATGATCTTTTGAACTGGATTTCAAACAGAATCGCTCCGCTGATGAATAGCAGTGGTCCGTCTGTAAGGTGGACACAGCAAAGTCAGCATCTTTTATGCATAGAAGATATTCTCTAAAAAATGACCTGCAAGATGAATCATCAGAAAAATCATTTCAGTGCACGAGTATTAGTTTGTAAGGTGTTTCTGGTATTTCGTCCACGGATTGTGGCTTTAATTCAGTAATCTGATTCACCAGGTGCCCGTGAAGCATAAGGTATTAAATGTGCTCATATCACAAAAGGGATTTGAAAGCTAAAAACAGTAAAAATATAAAACAATATGAAGTTAAAAAAGCAGTTCTTCTCTTGTTGTTTAGAAATCAAATTCCAGACACTGCATCAGCCAGCTGGCTTTGAGTTCAACATATTGTTTTAAAGGGATTTTGCACTGAAGATTTAATAGAAGTCTCATGCCAAAGGGAATGTTACAGGTTTATCTTTCTTTCATTATCCCTCTACGCCATGCTCCACTAATCAGCAAAGTAACACAGTCGTTTTTATTGGTTAAAAAAAATGCATGAAAATCCAGCACCCCAGTCATGTTGAATAAATGTTTCACTAATGCTGTACACAGTACTGTATGTCCTAGTGGAAGATGCACAATGTATGATTATCCAATAATGGTCTTCCATTTTTGTAAATGTCATGAACAGAATGTTGTTTATTACATCTACATTATGCATGCACCTTAGATTGAATACACTGAATTGACATTTGGAGGAGTTTTTAATGTTTAGTAATAACAGCTGCAAATGATTTTGGACCGTGCAGGTACTGGCAGACTGAGCTTTGCTGCCATGGAGGGCAATCACAGTGGCTTTGCTGGGAGCACACAGCCGTCAGTGTCAGGAGAACAGACAGTTGGACACATCTATGAGGTTGCCGTGCAGAACAGCTCCACCAACCGCACCTCCCAGTTTGCAGATGTGGCCCTGCTGCAGACGTTCAAGCCTCTCATGATCCCCTGCTATGTGCTCGTTGTGGTGGTGGGCATCTTTGGGAATTACCTGCTCCTCTATGTCATTTGTCGAACCCGCAAAATGCACAACGTCACCAACTTCTTCATCGGAAACCTGGCCTTCTCTGACATGCTCATGTGTGTGACCTGCGTCCCTTTCACCCTCGCCTACGCCTTCAACCCGCACGGTTGGACTTTTGGCCGCCCGATGTGCTATCTGGTGTTCCTCATCCAACCAGTCACAGTCTACGTTTCAGTCTTCACGCTCACTGCCATTGCTGTGGACAGGTGGGTGGATCTCTCTGCACTACATGACGCCACGCGACATTTTGAATTGCCTTTTTTAAGTTTGTTTTTTTCTTTCTTTCAATCCTCTTCACGGTGTAACTGACAAGCCAAAAATTAGACAACCAGGAAAATGAACAATTATCTGTCATCAATTTTCATTCATACGCATTTAGAAATGATGGAGATGTGCAGATAGATTGCACTTTTAATAACACCACTTATGAACAGTTCAGTACTTGTGCTGAACTTGTTATGATTGATATGCCATGATGTAATGGCTCCTATGGTGTAATCAATAATCAAGTTTTTGTTAGATAATGAATCGGTAAATTAGAAACTTTAATTAACAGTTAAATTATAAATGAGTCATATCATAAAAAAATCATACATGTAGCTGCATGAGTCAAACTCTCATTAAATGTTTATATGTAAAAACTAGCTTGTAAATCATTTGTGAATTCATGAACAACCAAATGCAAAACAATTTGAGCTGCTTGCTATGTGACTGATGGGCAAAGACCAAAATCCAATTATCCAGCTTTACACTGTGCACAGAACAATGTGCTGCAGAGACATGTCCCCCGGTAGACCCGAGATCCACCTCTCTGCTGCTCACTATACGACAAAATTCAAACGGCTACAGTAACGCTCCCTTCAGCATTTCTGCCCTCAAATTGTTCATTTATCTAATTTCAGCTGAGCCGAGAACAGCAACATCAACGGAGGCTTCTAGGCACCAGCTGAAAACCTGCCGTTTTTATCACCTCTGCTCAATCTTAAGAGTTTAAAATGGAAATGATTTTCCTCTTTTTCTTATTGTTCTGTAATTTAAAGATTTGTTTTTCTTGATGTAGAGCACATTGTGATGCAAACCCTCCACAAATGGTGGTGCTATATAAATAAAGGTTAATAGAAACATCATTATCGTGCAGTTTTGCTTTTGACAATGTAAACTAAATGCACTGCAGAGATTGTGGGCAGTGACCTTTAGAGCTGATTAACTAATTTAACCATTTATACTTTAAATAATCTCCTTTTCCTTATAAAACACGCAATAGATCAACATGCATTAATTAAAGTGTTGTACCCTTATTATACTCTTTCTATATTGCAGGTATTACGCAACAGTTCATCTCATGAAGAAGCGCACCTCTGTGGCCACCTGTGCCTCCGTGCTCACCGGCATCTGGCTGCTGTCCTGCGGGCTGGTGGCTCCGGCAGTCGCCCACACGTACCACGTGGAGTTCAAAGGGGAAGGCTTCACCATCTGTGAGGAATTCTGGTTGGGTCAAGAGAAAGAAAGACGCGCTTACGCATACAGCACCCTGCTGGTCACGTATGTCCTGCCCTTGTCCGCTGTCTTTGTCTCCTATCTCTGTATCACCGTCAAACTGAGGAAGTGTGTTGCGCCAGGCCACAGGACACAAGACCAGGCGGGAGCTCAACAAGCTCGCAAGAGAAAGATCTTTCGCCTGGTCGCACTCTTGGTGTCTGCCTTTGCGGTGTGCTGGCTTCCTATTCATGTGTTCAATGTGCTGCGAGACATTGACATTCACCTCATTAACAAGCGCTACTTTTTACTCATCCAACTGCTGTGCCACCTGTGCGCCATGAGCTCATCTTGTTGCAACCCGTTCCTCTACGCATGGCTACACGACCGCTTCCGCACCGAGTTACGGAAGATGCTTAAGTGTCATTATCGCATTGGAGTGCCTGCTAATCACTGCGCCGCCAGCGTGATCTTGTGATTACCCGGTGAATCCTTTGACATTATTTCAGTGTAATTTGCCGATTCTTGAGTACAAGTGGAGACAGTGCGCTGTGGAGTTCATCCTCTGGCACCCTGTACAATTCACAGAAACGTTCGTGGAAATCCAGCCATTAGTTTAGTAAATGTTGTGTAGGAAGACAATCTATTGGCTCTTTAGGAGAGGTCAATCTGTAAAATAAAATCGAAATCTAAATAAAAAAAGTAAAGATTTTGGCAGGAGTCAATTGGTGTTCATCCTCTGTGGACCATGAACTTCAATACATTGTATTGCAATCCAGCCATTAGATAAAGGTCCAGAGCCGAAAGGGTTCATCTCCTCAGAATCCATGAGAGTGCCCGATGCCCAGTAAAATCCATGGCAATCTGCCAATTTCATCAATATAAGCATGTTGTCACGAAATAAAGGGTCACTTGTAACATTCTGACTTATCCTCTGGGGACAATTAATATCAACAGCAGATTTCAGGAAAACCAGGCCGTTAATCTGTTAGATTATTATAAAAAAAAACAGCCTGGCCAAAAGATACCAGTTTATACAAATGTAGTTCTCTCAGTAGCTAATTAAACATTCACAAATTGTGCCAATAAAACTGAGAAAGAAGAGACGAGGTCTTAAGCATTTCCTTTAATTAACAAATGAATGAGGATACTTTTTTTAAAATTACCTTTAAAAAAAGCTAGATAGCGGTTAAGCATGTTGAACAAAGTGTAGCTGTATTGGATATGAATACAAGCTGTGCCAGTTCAAATTGTGTTTGGGAATGGTAACTGCAGATGTGGTTGTTTCCACTAATGGTGTGGCGCTCCTTTCTGTGGAATGAATTACATTCATTAGCCTGTTCCCCTGGGCATTCATTTTCTTAAAGCCTGTAGTGGATAAATATGCACCTCAGCATTATAATTCATTAAATTATTTCTGATAGCAGTGTATAATAGCTGTAAAAAAAGAAAAGAAAATCATTGTGTGGTGGTTGGCTCTGTGTTGCTTTGTGTCCTCTGCTTACGTTTCTATTGCTTCTTGAGATTTTATGCAAAATCAGCAAGATTGATTTTTATTTTCACTTCCATTATTTAGTTGCCATTATAGCCGTCAAGTCACCTATTCTGTATACACGTGTCTCCTTCCTGCAGACAGATTTATCTTTGCAGCAGTGATAACTCGACAAAATCAACAAGTTTCAAGTGCTACTGTCATTATTTGACCTCCACCGCAGCAGAATGTAAAACACATGTGCCTTTACTTTTGCTCTTTTCAAATCAACCACTGATTGCATGAAGGGACTCTGTGATTACATTTTTTTTGGGTGCACACACGTTTTACGGCGTATTGTCTTGTAACTTCCTGTGTAAACTGTGTATAGGATTTGTGATGTAACGTTCATAACATGTATGTTCTCTGATCTGTTGCCTGTTCTAACAACACACTGTGGTAAATTAAATACAGAGATGGAATGACCTCTCTGCTTCAGATCAATGTGACTGCGTAATGAAATTAAAGTCTATCTAACTTGGGGGTGGTTGCTGAATTTACTAATTAAATAACAGGGAGGACAGAAGTGTTTCATGCATATCAACTACACCCGTTTAGGACATTGAAACAATGTGAGAATTTATTGATCGTTTCAGCATGCTTGGTGCTTGCCAACAACGATGTAAATTTCCTGCAGTCTAATGATTTAAATTCTGCAGTCGTTCTTCCGTGAAATAAACCCAATTCTGTTTCCATTCAACACATTTGAATTTCTGATCAAAAAGTGAGAGATTAGGTGAGTTGTAGTATTTTATATGGGCCTGAATGCGTATAATATCCTCTATATATAAAGAGGCTGAATTGAATCATTAACTAGTATTCTAGATTATATTCCAAAAGAGCTCAGCGCTTGCAAAAACGAAATAATAAATTGAATTGAATAAATCCCAGGGGCTGCTGCGATTCAAGAGGCTCTCTTCTTTGAAATATTTGACAATTACATCACATACTCTGGCAATGAAAAGATGGATTTTAACAGTGTTATCAGTCGCAGCTAATATTCAGAATGTCATGCTGGTGTAATGGAGTAGTAACACCTTAAAAACCTCTGTAGGCGTTATGAAAGTACTCATTGTAGATATTCAACCAACACATTAAATGAAGGCTTCGTCCGAGGCTCGGCATAATAGACCTTTTACGCAGCAGACGTCTTTATTTCCCTACGGTGACATGTTAAATCTCTTAGAGCAAGCCCAATTATATACAAAGTTGGTCTAATTATGCAAAACCAATACATGACCCCAACATCCCACATTTTAAACCAGGTAAATACTTTCATGTCGGGCACTTTCATAAGTGATGTGGACAATGTGCAAAACAAAAAAATTTATTTAAACTCCATTATATATTTCCTTTAAAAGAAAAGCATTTTGCAGTTTAAGTGGAGATCTTCACACTTCATATTTCAATTTTTGTTAATGACTTTAACAACTTTATTCAATAGTGAACCAAGTATAAGCAGCAAAAAGAAAAACACGTAGGATCATTTACTGCATGAAACTACATACAAAAAGGTTGCAGCATCTCTTATCACGAAACCAAATCTTATGAAAATTGAACCATCCGGTCTTGAGGCACAGCGGGTAATGATTCGTCACTCAAGAAAGCATCTTCTGCGTCAGAGCAAACTCCCGAGCTTCCCGAGGAGTGCGGATGTACGAGTCAATTTCACTGTCAGAGATTTCTTCGTCTCCGGTAACATCCTTGAGCTCGGGCTGCTCCATTCTCCTTTTCTTGGCGTGGATCACACACGGGGGAGCAAACAGCACTCTCTTCCCCCAGTTTGGTGCTGGATCTTGGCTCTTCAGAGTGTCTCTGTGCAGCTCCTCCACCACGCATGCGTCATCGTCTCCCGGTCGCCGAGTCCTTTCAGCATTCAGTCCACATTGTTCCGCAGACGATGCATTTGGATTGTGATCCACGAGCTCAGAGGTTTGGGAGGGAGCGGCCTCCTCACAGCTGGCCTGACTGTCTTCCAGCAGGGCGTCCTCTTGGGTTCTGAGAGCCCTCCTGAGCAGCGCGTACCTGTGTGTCAGAATATCCTCCACCTGATGGACAACATTCTCTGGCGTCACCGCATCCCGGACCCAGGGAATCTCCTTACCCAGCTTACACAGCACCTCCTTCATCTCCGTTATCCTCTTCAAAGCAGGCTGGTGCTTATTCACTTTGGCAAGCCGACAGAATTTGTCCAGATTTAACTTCAAGCGGTGCTTGTTGGGTTTCAAGGACTGCCATGACAGATAGATGGCGGCCATCATGACGGGGACGGGTCTACGGCCAGTCACAATCCAGGCATCTGCCGACAGCTCCACCAGCTCCACGGCGCGTTTGGTCAAGTCCTTGTGGTTCTCAGCCAGTTCTTCAGGAACGTGAAGCGAGCTAATTTTGTACCTGACAGAAAGAAGAACAAAACATTTTTTTAGTAAGTCTTAGAAATGTATCATTTAAAGCACTTCTTATGAATGAATTAGAGCACCGTTTGTTTTCTTTTCTGTCCGATAACTTTGCAGATAATTCTATTTAAGTCAACAAAACCACAAATAAGACTGATCCCGCCCACTTGTGAACATTTGTAAATAAAAGTGAGCCTGTCTATGGGAATCAAGAATAATTTATAGTAGCGTGGGACATTTAAACTACTACAGGTTGCAGAATTAATAATAACAACCGGTCGGTTTTCTATGAAATGAGACTCATCTGAGTAACAGAGGAAAATGAGAATGGCTGCCGATGTTTGGATTGGTCAGAATGAGCCGTTATCTAAATGTTGCTACTGTACAATGTAAAAAATAAGTTGAGGTTCAGACCTCTGTCCTTCACTCACTCGTGACTGTAGGCCTCCATCACATCAATGACGTTGAAGCTCGGAGCCTCGATGTTGAGAATCTTGAGCATCTCTTGGTAAATCGTTCCCACCGCCATCGGGTCGGTGTCCGTCAGGCAGCTGATGGTTCCCATGGTTATGGGCCAATTACGCAATCTGCAGCTTACGAGCACACAGCAGCCGGCCAGAGCCTCCTTCTTCCGCAGGCTCACT